TCAATTGATAAAGTTTTCATACGTAGTAATGTATGTGATTGATCATCAATTACAATATAGTGTATGTGTGTTTGTGTGTGTGTTTGTGTGTGTGTTTGTGTGTGTGTGTGTGTTTGTGTGTGTGTGAAATTACTCATATACTTAAATATAACTTAGAAAATTAACTTAGATAGATGAATACGTAAGGTAAAACGTCTTGATCGATATTTATTAATCTATGTGATTTGTAATTAGTTATAAAACGAATGAATATATAAGACGAAATGTGGAATTCGAGTAAAATAAACGTCTCATATATATACCTTTATTTTTTTTATTATGATTGATTAATGTTATATATATATATATATATATATATATATATATATATATATATATATATATATATATATATATATATATATATATATATATATATATATATATATATATGCTTATAATTTATTAAAAGTAATTAATTAATATAATTATTTATAAAGATTAGGCTTATCGTTTATAATTATTTATAGTAAATATATATGTGAATAAAATAAATGATTATAGTTTATATTAATTTTTTTTATAGTTTATAATATTTTAAGAAATAAAAAACACAAAAAAAATAATTTAGTTTTTTAAAACACAGTCAACCCCGGTCACTTAGTGTATTGACCAACATTACCGACCAACGTTGGTCGGTAATTCTAAATCCAGATCCCAAATACAGGATTTTTTCCTCATTTCTCTTACCCTCTTCTCAAAATTTTCTAACTCCTCCCTCTCTTCACCTTGACACACTCGCCCCAGTCCATTTTCTGCCCCTCTTCTACACCAAAACCCTAGCCGCCTCTCTCTTCTTCTTCTTCTTCTCTCTCTTGAGCAGCCACCCAATTCTGCCTCCCTCCTCAAACGAGCTTCATAAACAAAGCCATAATTGGATTCTGGATTGAAAACGAATTTCAAGAGCAAAAAGAAAAGAAAAAGCGAACAAAAACCGAAGGAAATAGGCTAAAACAGTGAATTTCTGTCATTATTGGAAGCTGTTGTTCATGGTTCTGGGTTTTCTAATGCTATTCTATGTCAAAGCATTGCCGAACTTCTGTTGTTGGTTGCTAAAATTTCTGCTGAGCTTCATCCGAATTTGTATTTGCCTTCATTTGGCTCATCTCAGTTATCTCATTATTTGATTAGGTGAGTTTTAAACCCCTTATATTATGCTTTCGTTTGAATAATTAAAACCGTTGATTCCTGATTAATCTCTGTGAATTTGTCTAGCTCCTGATTTTCTACTATTGGAAATATAATAAATGTAATTTTGTGTCAATTTGGAAAGTGATAAAACTGGGAAGTAATTCGAAACATGATGCTTGTATGAAGTAATTTAATTCTTGCTTTTAATTAGGACTCCTATTAATGGTTATCTGCTCATTCTAGGTTTTCAAATGTATGTTTTCCAATCCGAAATTGGTTGAATCTTCATTGAATATCTGCAGATCTACTTAGTGCTACCTTATTTAATGAAATTTCCATTTAAAATCATGGTTTAGTTCTAAGTGGGACTGAATATTAATAGCATTCACGGAACAAGGAATTTTCTCTAAATTTAAAATTTTAGGATATGAATTGAACTTTTAGGGGTAATGGTTGAACTTTTTGGATGTGAATTGAACTTTTAGGGATAATTGTTGATCCTTTTGGGTGTAGTTATTAAAAATTAATTATCTTAATTAACTAAAAATAATTTAAATTTATAATTGTAGAATATATTAAGTAGTTGTAATACTTATGGAAATATCTCAATTTGTTTTTATTTGTATAAATGAAACATCGTACTTGGATGTACAATAGAAATTATCCTAATCGTACTTGGATGTACATCGTACTTATGGAAATATGCTCCTTATCCATTACGGCGGAATAAGTCCGATTGGTGGGTTGTAATCAAAACTAAGCATGTAGGTAGGGTGAAAGTCGAGAATGTGTTAGATGTTGCATATCAAAACGATATCTTCAGTGTTCACCAAATAGTGGACGATTTGTTAAGGCAATGGAAGACCGGGGATTTCTTACAGAAGAGCAAAAAAGGAAAGAAAGCTAGCTCATCCGAGAAGGGAGGCTCCTTGCACACTGGAGGTGCTATCAGCATCGGGACAATAAGAAGAAGATTGGTAGTTGCTTAAATTATTTTACTTTTCTATGTTTATCAATTCTATTTATTAACTAAATTAATTTATTTTCAGGAAAAAAAGTATGGGCGTCCAATGAGCCATGATGAGCTATTCAAGGAGTCGCATATTTTAAAGAAGAAGAAAGAGGGGGATAGAGATAGGTGGGTCGAGGAACGGGCAGAGACTACATATGTAAGCTTTCAATTTTCTTTAAGTGTTATAATTTACTTTTTAAAGAATTTTTAAATACTTTAATTTAAAATAATGTAGGGTCGCTACCAAAGTAACGTGGAGAAATTCATTCGTAGTCAGCCAGCTGGTGAATCGGGCGAGCTAACCCAACCTTCAGACGAGGATGCTGAAAGAATATGGTTGGAGGCTGTTGGCGGTCCAAAATAGGGGAAGGTATACATGCTTCCTGAGAAACATTTCTATCGCTATAGGTGTGGAATGCAAGGAATAGGGACTTCCTCACAGGGTGAGGAACTTAATAGGGAGAGCCTCTCGGCTATGCGGGAGACAGTGACAAATCTTACATCTGAGCTAGAAGCGGCCAAGGAAAGAGAAAGGCTTAGAGATGCTCAATTCCTTGGTATGCAAGCTCAGATCAGAACTCTCCTTTCTACTGGAGCTTTTCCGTTGCCTCGGTCTCATGAGTCATCGCCAGAGGCTCGGCCTCCACGTGATCGTTCCTCCCGTCGTCTCTGTGATCGTTCCTCCCGTCTGACCCGTAATCGTTCTTTCCGTTCTCTACAAGACCATTCTCTATACCGTCTTGTAGATGCAAGTTCATCAGATGATGATGATATTATAGAAAACACCCATTGACCAATACTTTGATATACTTTGAACTAGACTAATAGAACTAGTTTTGAATTCGATTGAACAATTTTGAACTTGTTGTAATTACTTAATTTTTGCTTGATTTTGGATTGTGATGTTTAATTGAACTTTAATTTGTTAGTTTTAAAGTATTAATTGGATGTTTGATTGTTGTTGTTGGATGTTTCGTTGGATTTGTGGTGAATTAGGGGTTGTATGTGGTGAATTGGTGGTTATTAGATGTGAATTGAGGGTATTAGTATACTATTTTTATTTGGCAGGTGGTGTAGCTACCAAAACAGGCATTTTCTGCCAAAATTAATCCCAAAAAACCGACCAACCTTGGTCGGTATCTAACAAAAAAAAAATTAAAATTATAAATTACCGACCAATGTTGGTCGGTTAATGCACATTTATTTCCCAGAAATTCAACATTACTGACCAAAGTTGGTCGGTAAGTTGCTTGCCCTGTCCAGTTTACCGACCAACGTTGGTCGGTATTTTTAAATTTTAATTATTTATAAAAAAATATATTTTCATTACCGACAAAAATTGGTCGATAAGCAAAATTAATAAATTTAATATACCGACCAAGTTTGGTCGGTAAAATTAAATTATTAAAATAACATTCCGACCAATGTTGGTCGGTAAGTCAATTAAATTGTCAGATGGTCGTGTAGAGCATACCGACCAGTGTTGGTCGGTAATTTCTGATCGACTTTGGTCGCGTTTTGGACGGTTATTGGCAATTACCGACCAATTTCGATTGGTTTTTATGGATGAAGTTTTCCGGATTTCTAGTAGTGTTTTGTTCTTGGACCATGTAATTTGGTAGAAGGTACCATTGTTCTAATTAAAAAAATGATTTTAAACATACCGAGTCAAGATGGAGGGCTTAAAAGGAAAAAAAAAAAGAAAAGAAAAGAAAAAAGGAGAGCTTCTAGCTTTGTTTGACATTGATTATTGACCAGTCAGAGACTGTGTAGCAACGATTAGGTATTTAAGAATATTCAGAAAGTGTGATTATGTGGACAAAGTTTCCATTGAATCGATACCCAGGTATAACGTAACTCTATAGCATGACGTGAGATTGAGTGTTCCAATGTTATATCTACGTGTTAGCATTATTATAATATTTAATCTACTAAAGCTAATGTTTATTCTTTAGTTTGATGAAAGGTTACCCGAAATAAGCAGGGATATACATAAGGACGATGATAATGATATACTATCATGAACCTAGTGATAGCAGAAATAAAATTTGGACAGTTGTAGTCTACACTATCATAAAAACAGAAAGGTGTCAATTGAAATGCTAACCTGTTAATTTTGCCATCTATAGTAGTTTTAAATTACACTATAAGTTTATAATATTATAATCGGTATTAATTTTAAACTTGTTTATTCATAAAACGATACAGTTAAATTTATAGCGTGATTCATAGACAAGCGAATCGATTTGATCCAAAAATGATAAATAAATAAGAACGAAAATTAAATTAACGAATGAAGTTAAAGGAGATAACAAGTCTCACTAAGGAATTAGCCTTTACAATGACAAGAACAATAATGTTTCAAGTGTTTGAATTCAATGTAATAAGGGAATAGATTACAATTTTTGTGTGCAAAATATTTGATCTATCCTATAATGGTCGTTAATCCTGTTATTTATAGCCCTTCTTTAGGGAGACAAGACCCTAAAATCGAGCTCCTTTTGAATGAGAATAAAAACGTTATTGATGGGTGCATAACGACTGGCTTTGAATGCAGATATTCTCTATAACGGCTGCTCATTAAATACTATCCGATGTCAAACCTTTGAATCTTTATTATCGGCTATGCTTCCTTCGGGATCCCTCCTCTACCGATTACACACTATGCATCCGGTGCCAGTTGTTTGCTGACTCATCTTTTGTCTATATTCGATTCCTCATGTCATGTCGCCATTCAACCACCTATTATCAACCAATTTCACCCCATACAAAACTTTGAATAAACTAATATCTATTACAAATTTGTCATTTAGACTTTTCTAAGATTTTTGACACTTTCAATAAAAATAATGAAATAGTTGCACGTTAGTGGTTGAATAAAGTAATATCTATTACAAATGTCCGTCATCAGTTCTTGAAAGATCTTTTTGTTAATTCTTTTTAAAAATTAATTACATAGGGAAAAGGGAAGGAATTAATTTATTTTTTCTTTTCTTTATTACGTCAAGGAATTAAGGGGAAGGCGATCAGCTTCATCCTCACTCTTCCCCCTACACGTAATGGTACAAGAATTTAGACATACTTTCAGATTTTGCAATAAAACTCAACACAGAACATGACAGATCCAGCCCAGCGCAGATTCAGTCCAAATACAAATAAATTAGGGCAGATTCAACCCAAATATAAATAATCGCTAGCAACTGCGCCCACTGTGGATGTGCAAATTCCGGAGGGGCCGATCCAACCAAAGCGCTATAATAAGCCAAATCCTGGCATGAATCAATAAAACATGTTGCGGCCTGCAACCCGATCTCATGAATATCACTTACAATAGACCCTCAGCCTCACTCAGTCATTAATCTTTCCAATCTCTCGGGCTCAAAAGAATTATGATAATCAGCCCAAACAATGTTGATATGATGTATCAATAACGGACAATAGAGACTGAGATATAATATGCAAATAATAGCTATGACTGAGTACAAAATGGCAAATTAAGAAAATAATTCAACATGTAACACGACCTTTGTGGATCCCAACAGTACCAACACGTTGCCTAAGCAGGGTTTCTAATATGACTTGCACCTCAATTACTCTAACACATGGTGAAAATACGGGTAGCAACAACATTATTCAACTATACAGTTCCATGGAATCGACCAAGTCATAATTCTTACGGTGCACGCCCACACGCCCGTCACCTAGCATGTGCGTCACCTCAATACCAATCACATAACACGTAATTCGTGGTTGCATACCCTCAGAACCAAATTTAGAAGTGTTACTTACCTCAAACTGTGTAACTCTCTACTCCAACAAGCCCTTGCCTCGCGAAACGACCTCTGAATGCCTTGAATCTAGCCACAAACAATTCGATATGATCTACTCAAGGTATAGGAATCAATTCTATAACAATGAAAATGCTAAGTTCTTAATCAAAAGTCAAAAAGTCAACCCCCAGGCCCACATCTTGGAATCCGATAAAAGTCATAAAATCCGAACACCCATTCAACCACGAGTCCACCCATACAAAAATTACTCAAATCGGATACGAAAATCTCGATCAAATCCCCAAAATTTGACCTAAGGACTTTCCTCCATTTCCCCCCAAATTTTCAACCTAAATCACTAATTAAATGATGAAATCAAAGATATAAATATGGAATTAAATCAAAACTAAGTAAGAATCACTTACCCCAATCATTCCCTAGAAAATCTCTCCAAGAATCGCCTCTAACCGAGCTCCCAAAATCAAATTTGTGAAATAAACTCAAACCCTCATTTTAAAAATATTTAAGTCTGCCGAGATATCCTTAATCGCCATCGCAAAAATTACTTAGCGATCGCGAAGCACAACTCAACTACCCAGATATTCAATCCTACGCGAATGCGTCAATCCTCATGCGAACGCGAAGAACTGCTTTCCTCAACTTATGCGAATGCTTCCATTTACACGCAATCGCAAAGAGCAAACACGAGACCTTAGGTGCTGCCTCCTATACTCTACACAACGAGACCTTAGCCACGCGTTCGCGATTCACAGCATCCCACAACTACGCGATCGCAGTCCCCATCTCGTGAATGCGTAGAACAAAGACCTCCACTGCCTAATTAAGTCTACGCGATCACGGATTTGTCCACGCGATCGCGTATAAGGAAACCAGATCAGTGCACCAAAAAATTTTCGCAAATCTCCAAATCCAAAATTTGATCCGTTAACCATCCAAAATCCTCCTGAGGCCCCGGGACCTCAACTGAATATACCAACAAGTCATAAAATACGATACGAACTTATTCGAGCCTTCAAATCACATTAAATAATGCTAAAACCATGAATCGCTCAACGATTCAAGTCTAATAAACTTTTGAACTTCTAACTTCTACATTCGATGCGGAAACCTATCAAATCACGTCCGATTGACCTCAAATTTTGCACACAAGTCACAAACGACACAACAAACCTATCCAATTCCCGGAACCCCAATCCGAGCCCGGTAACCACAAAGTCAACTCTCGGTCAAACTTCTAAATTCTAACTTTTGCCATTTCAAGCCTAATTCAACTATGGA